TTTCAGAAGTTCCAGCACTCTGCAGCATAGAGCYCTTGCTAGAATTTCACACAAGACCTTAAGTACAAAGAGGCTAAAAAACCTGGAAAAAAAATCTCAGCATCTCCAGCACTTAGGTCTTTCAGTGCATTTTTTTCAGRAGGAATTTTCTAAAGCTGATGTTGTTCAACCCAAGCCCCTTCTTTTTGCCTGAAGCATGTAATGGAGAGGTTATGTCTCCCTGAGCTGCTACACAAGCCATTCCAACATCCCCCTGGGAATCACAGAAACCTCTCCCTCTCCCATGCTTTGCTACAAGCAAACAATCTGGATCTCCAGCATCCTCATTTTAAGTTTTCCACATATCTGTTGGCTSTGTGTGTTGCATAACCAAAAAATGGCAGCTGACAATACACAAAGAAAAAAGCTTGGGAGAGTAGCTGGAAGATASCTGTATACCAGCTACACTGGAATTTACTAGTTGAGTGGGCTGCTTTCAACTGGAAATATAAAACAAGCCTTACAGCAGTAACCTCAAACCCTTGGAGCAGTAATTAGGATGAGAGAGTATATACCAAATAATGGTATTTCCATTATCCCACAAGACAAAGACCAAGTGCAAAAGAATTTTCTCTTGATCTACAGTGTCTCTTCCAGATGTCTGAGCCAGATGAACCTCACAGCTGCTGCTTTAGTTAATGCTTTCCTGCCACTCCAAGAACTGACTGTTTTAAGAAACTGTCCAAAGCAGATTACTCTTCCTCGTGAAAAGTATAAACCCATCAGACAGTTTGCTTCAATGGATACTCACAACTGAGCTACTAAAAAGCACAATAAATTGTTTGCTTATTAAAGCTGTCTTTCCTACAAGGGAACAGCCTTCCTAGGCACCTTGGTAAAGGCAGGAATTAACATCAAATATGTAAGTAATGACAGCAGAACTCAGAAACCTTCTACGTATCCAGCTAAAACCAAATCCCAGTGCATGTTCTGGAATTTATTTTTATTACAAATAAGAGGCACTTCATGAACTATTTGAATCTGCCTGGAAGATCGTTTATAGAAACGCATACAACAAGGCACAAATAATTGCACTCCACCTGGGAAGGACTGATGGAGCCTAAATAGAAGATTTCAAATTCTGACCTATCTATTTGATGAAAGCTTGCAAGCATCTCCTCCTAATTGCATCATCCACTGAGAAAGCCATTTGGGGAGTACAACAGGAATGGAAACACTGGGAAAGGCGACTAAAGGAAGAAGGAAACACTCCAACGTTCCTTTGAACTTCTGATTATTTTCCATCMAAGACTCTGATGTGTCTGAAGGCGTTTCCCATACACCAGGCTTTATCTGCATATTCAAACACTGGAAGGCTTGACTGCCCCTCAGGAGCTAGCTCTGAGCCATGCTGGGCCTGCTGATGGAAACAGCTTAAAAAGATTTTGGCAGTGATGGTGGCCAGGACAACTGCCTTGTCCTCCACAGCCCCTCTTCCATTTCTGCCAGAATAGCTACYGGAGAAAAACAAAACCCTGGCTTCACTTAAAGCCCTAAACCACTTCATCCCAAGGAAATGGCCCTGGCAAGCTCACCAGCTCAGCAGCATGTTTAGAGGAGTGGGGACAACAGACACACATGACAGAGGTCAGACTTGTTGATAACCTCTCCCACCTGCACTTATTTCCACTGATTTTACAGAGCTAWCAGAGACCTTTGCTACCCCAGTTCATTCAGTGCCAGATGAAGATGAACTACTGGAATGCCCATCCCAAGAAAGATTCATTCAGCAGACAAGAGTGGGATGAGCGGCTGGGGGGCATGAGCTTGCCCTGCAGTCACAGCCAGTACAGAGAGGATGTTTATTCATAGCCTTATTTAAGCCAGCTAAGAAGAGAGTAGACTAGAACAGGACTCATGGGCCCAGTTCAGAGGAGGTGGAGGGATCTGCAAAACACAACCGTGGGAGGCTCGGATGCCCTGCCAAAACCAGAAGATTCCTCTGCTGCAAAGCCACGGCTGAGTTCAGACACACAGAGCACATCAGCAGCTCCAGGACAGGCTGATGAAGTGTCAAAGCTTTCACTTATTCCTAAATTAAAGTTTATAAAAAACATAGAAACTGGTATTCATGCAAARACAAATTAAAACCTGAATTCATCTRAATTAAACACAACAAACTCACACTCAAATAACTCAAAATTCAATAACAAAATTAAGAGTCCTCATTGTAATCACAACAAAACACATTAATCCCTTACATTTAGTATTAATCAAATTAAAACAGCCAGCCAGAACAGCAGGTTTCCTGCTGAACAAGCACATTCAGTACCATTCTGAGTCCTCCCACCCAGCTAACAGGACTTCAGCAACCTCAGTATCTCTGGGCAGGCTGGAAGATCTCCCTCTGCACCCATCCTGAGGCTTTTTAATTCAAACAGCCAAAAACGTGCTGCTGTAACAGCAGGTCCCAACTGAAGAACTTTCTTCTCCATAAGTTAAATGGCAACCAAGTAGTATTCTTGCTAAAAGCATTTACCTGTCAGGAAATATAGATACGACACATGACTTTATAAAAAAGGGTTAATGAACATGGATATTAATTAAACTGCACTGCCAATGGAAAAAAAAAAAAAAAAAAACCAAAACACCCTCATGGGCCAAAATGTCAGAATCCTACAGCTGTTTATGCTTTGTTACCCTTAATTACAGAAGTAATTCCATTAAAGCTAATTCTATGTATCTTACAGTCTTTCCCACAGTCCCTCAACAATGCTAATAATTCTTCCTCCATGGCTCTGAAGGAAAAAAAAAAAATCTTGTTCCCTGGTTTACAAAACTTTATCTTGTTGCCAGTAGTTAGTCCAATCCTGTGAAGGCAGCCCYAAAAGAATGGCAAAATGGATTAAAAAATGCCTCAATGCTCAGACATCAATACAATGAAACCTGCAAGATTTTTTTTAACCCCACAGGCAGCTCACTACAAGAATCCCAGGCTCACCTTTCATTTTTGCACCACAGCACATTACATTTTTCTAGAYATCAAGTAAATCAGTTGAATGGGAGGCATTTGCCTTTTGTGTCCTTAAAGCAGGGCAGCRCTCAGTGAGCCACATTCTGCATGGCATATTACACACACGTCTCTCATGAGGATTTCTGCTGTGAATCTAGTACTGCCAAAAGCAGCCTTTTGCATCACAAGGATGATCATAAAATTCTCTCAGTTACAAAATGCACCAGACTCGTGGACTGAGATGTCACTGTAGCTTATGTTCTCCCACCTAAGGCCAAGACATCTGTTTCCGCTAAGCAAAACTGTTGTGAATACAGAAGGCATGTGAACTATCTGACCAAAGTTCTGGCTTCTAAATCTGCATTCCTACARTCTGCTGTGATCTCAGCATCACTCCAAATAGCCTCCATCCAACTGATAGGAAGAGCTGTCTCACCAATCCAGCAAAAACTCAAAAGCACTGAGGAGACACTCAGCAGCGGATCCACAGGAAGACCACAGTGAAATCCAGCACAAAAAGCTCTGTACTCCTCTGCACCAGCTAATGGAATGACAGCCTCAAATCTACAGGATTTTGTCAGGTTTTTCAGTTTACCCTGAAATGAACAACCTACAACATCAATCTCSAAGCGCCCTTGGCTGTCACAAGCAGGGAGGCAGAAGCAGCAGCCATGAGTTGATGCTGCTGGCAAAATGAGAGAATGCTGTTGTGCTCACCATTTTGCTCTGGCTGAATTCTGGTATTCTAGGGCCACCCTCAATGGGATAGATATTTGCTATCCCTTCTGAAGATGCTCCCTACAAACTAACCCAAACCATGGTCTGCTGCAGGAAATGGAAAAGGCAAGAAAAACCAAAGCTACCTCTAACACAAGAGAAATAAAAAAAAATATTCCAAACACTTTACATCTTCAACGAGAACACGGAGCAAAACACCAGCACAGCTCTCCCCCACACAACAAGAACRTGACTGGGGAGAGTCACACTGCAGRAATRTTAAATCRAACAAGTTTTTAATCTAGGAYGAAAAAGAACACTGGCAAAACAGTGCAACAGCAACTAGCATTGGCAACGGGAAGAATGAAGTCTCTGCCAGGCTCTGCACTTTCCTCCTGGCAGAGCCAAACTTAATTCAACCACTTTTGACTGACGACCCCAGGCGCAGAGACACCAGGAGGAATTCTCCTTCAATGGGGCTATTCACTGGACCCGTAAAATGCGCCTGAGTTTGTCGGAAGCCGGATGCAGCCTGGGAAACTGGCCTGGCTACCTGGCCCTCCATTTTCAGTGCCAACAGGTGATCCTGGCTCCCTACCCACTTCCAGGAGAGGAGTGAACCCTCTCCTGGTCACGGTGCAACAGCCACGCCCGATACTGTTTCACAGGCATTTTGTAGAAGTGCTTATCTTTTAAGCGAGAGAGGATAAGCTATGGGGGCATCCAGCCCAGTGCCGGCGAGTCCGGGCTGGAACGGGCACAAAACCATGGTGGGGTCCCGACAACCGCCCCTCTTCCGAAGTGTGAGGGCACCCGAGAGAGTCCGGCTCCAGCCTGCGGAGAAGCGCCGGGGCCAGGCGGGAGGGAGGGAGGGAGGATCCGAGTCAGGACCGGGCCGACTCCGCTCAGCCGAGCTCACGGCCCCCGCCTGGCTCAGAGGCCGCAAACAGCTCGGTCCCAGTCCCAGTCCCAGGCGGCGGCCCTGGCGGGGGCTGAACAGTGTGAGAAGGAGTTCGTTCGCCCCCACAAACAGTCCGGTGCKGCGGGAGGCGGATCGGAACCACCACCCCGAAAGAGTCTGGCCGCCCGGCACAGCTCAGCTCGGCTCGGCCCGGCCCGGCCCGGCCGCCTTTCACCTGCAGCCTCGGCTTGCCCGGCCCCGCGCCGTCCCCTTCCCCGAGCCGGGGGTGGCTCCCGGCCCCAGCCCAGGCCCAGGCACACTGCCCCGGGGAGCGGCCATGCCTCTCACCCCTCTCCCGCCGCTCAACAGGTGCGCGGCGGCCGCACTCACCTCTCCGCCATGGCCGCTCTGCCCGCGAGCGGGGCAGGATGTGAAACCCGATCCCAGCCCCGCCCGGGGGCGGTGCGGCCCGGCCCGGGACCCCCGGCCGCTCCCCGGGTCCCTCTGCCGGGGGCTGCTGCGCCGGGACGGGGCGGGGCGGGGCGGGGCGGGACGATGAGGGGCAGGGCGAGCGGGACAGGCACGGCAGGCGGGTGCGGCCGATCCGCGGGTCGAGGGCAGCACCTGGTGGCGGCTGCGGCCGCTCCGGAACCCGGCAGAGAGCGCCGAGCCCTGATGCCGCGGAGTCCCGGTCTGGCCGGAGGGGTGGAAACAAGGAGAGTGGAAACGGATCCGGGACATCAGTTTTGGAGTCGCTGGAGCCTTTTTTGAGCTTTTTTGAGGTCGATGGCAGTAGTCAGCAGTGAGRAAAGCCGCGGTCAGGCAAGTCATGTTCTGCCCTCGCCTCCCGGACCCTTTGGGAGCGCTGTTATTGCGGTTCCCTGGCGGGGCCTTGCACCCGCCGCTGGATCACAGCTGCCCCGGTAAACAGTGTTCTCCTGGCGCTGCCTCCCGCTGCCCTCGGCACATGAGGCTTTATTGGTCGTGCTCTGCCCTCTGGTACTCCCGACATTSTTCAAGAGCATGGATGGAGAGTAGCACCGGGAACTTGAACCAGGCTGGAGCATTGAGAGAGGAAAGTGTCTCTGCCAATGCTGGTTGCTGAATGTCCCTTCTTTCAGCTGGGAGAGCACAGACCTTTGGGTGAGCCTGAACTGTAAGGCTGCCATGCTCTGTATTTGCCCAGATGTGTTCTCTTTTTTACCCCAGCAGTTTTGTCTGTGCAGATTTTGTAGACTTTCTGTTTCTTCTCTATCCTGAGTACAAGTAGACCAGTCAAARTTGTGCAGCAACATCAGGTGCGTTTCTAGCACATGCACGGATCCACCAGCAGTGTATGAACAGCATAGTCCAGAGACCTCAGGAACACTTAGAGCCCTGCTCCTTGGCCAGCATGAGTAGTCTGAATAAATAAACTCTGCACTAAAGGTCAGCCCTGGTAGATCAGCTTCTGTCAGCCACTGGTTTGGAGTATGGCATGCAGGGATGGAAGAGGTCCTGCTATCTCAGTAATTGCTGCAATGTGGCACTGCTCCCAAGGAATCTTGTACGGGGTCCYGTTATTCCAGAATAGGAACAATCCCATGTGACAAATCCTGAGCAGTTGAGCTGCCCTGATTCCTTAGACCTATTACTGGGGGGGCAACACTTGACAGATACTAACACTGACAGAGTGGTTTGTGGCCCATGTCACATCAGGTAGAGAATGTCTGCTACAGTAAGAAATTAGTCAGTTCAGCTTATTAATGACCCCGGGCAAGCCAGTGGTCAGGGTTCGACACAGAGCAACACTGCACTCACTTGCAAGTGGCATTTTGGCACTATTGAGRACTTGAGGGTAACTTAATCTGAAGACATTTCCCATGAAAATCCCACTGCATTTTTAAATAGCAAATAGAGAGACAGTGAGATCATGGCTGCTGCTCTTGTGGGCTGGTCACACAGCTGCGCTGTGCTTACCAGGGGAAGTGGAGGGGGGGAGTGGGGGACAGTGTGCCCCTGCAGCCAGGGGCCAGTGACAAAGTGGGGCCTCCACAGGGACTCTGAAGCTGCTGGAGATGCCTGAGGTGCTCTGGGAAAGCAGGCAGGAAAAGTTGAGTTCTGTGCTACTGCAAAACTCAGGGACTGTGGCACAGGCTAGGAGGAAATGAAAGGAGGAGTTAAATCAGGTCTGTGTTGAAAACAAAAATTTGCTGGTTGTCGTGGTTTAGAATGCTGGCTGAAAGCCAGGCACCCACAACACCTGCTCATGCGCTCTCCCCCACCACCACTGGGCAGAGAAAAGTGAAGGAAAAAAAAATTAACAAAAGGGTTCATGAGTTGAGGTAAGGAGCAGGGAGGAAATGCTTGATGGACAAAACAGGCACTACTTAAATTATGAAGTGAATTTATTACTAACAAAGTCAGAGGAGGAGAATGAGAAATAAAATAAAATGCTCAAAGACACTGATCTTCTCCCCACTCCCTCCCCACTTCCCACCGACAATGCAAAGCAGCAGGAACGGAACAGGGTGTAGGGTTGGTCAGTTCATCACCGGATCATCTGCTGCTGCTGAGGGAGAGAAATCCTTCCCTTGCGTTGCCGTGGGGTCCCTCCCACGGGAGACAGTTCTCAGTGAACCTCTCCGGCGTGGTTCCACTCTCACGAGCAGCAGTCCACACACATCTGCTGCAGCGTGAGTCCCTCCACGGGCAGACAGTCATCCCAAAACTGCTGCACCGTGGGGTCCCTCGTCCACGGAGTGCAGTCCCAAGGCCAGGCTGCTCCATCTCGGGAGCAAAGCCTCTCTCTCCGTGGCTCTCCTGCTGGACACAGCCCCTTCTCAGCATCCGCCCGCACCGGCGTGGGGACCTCCCTCCTCCACGGGCTGCGGGTGGATCTCTGCACCCTCTGTGGACCCCATGGGCTGCAGGGGACAGCCTGCTCCACCATGGTCACCATGGGCTGCAGGGGACAGCCTGCTCCACCATGGTCACCATGGGCTGCAGGGGGACAGCCTGCTCCACCATGGTCACCATGGGCTGCAGGGGACAGCCTGCTCCACCATGGTCACCGTGTGCTACATGGGGACAGCCTGCTCCACCATGATCACCATGGGCTGCAAAGGAATCCCAGCTCCGGCACCCCGACCAGCTCCTCTCCCTCATCCGCTGACCTTGGTGTCTGCATCTCTCACATATATCTCAGCCTCCTCCACTGGCAAATCTACTGTGTGCTCCCTTTGTTTTGATTTCTTCTTAAATATGTTTTCACAGAGACGTAACCACCATCTCCAATTGGCCCAGGTTTGGTCAGTGGCATGTCCATCGTTCTCAGAGCCCACAGCAATTGGCTCTGCTGGACATGGTGGAAGGCTCCAGAAGCTTCTCACAGGAGCCATCTTTTTAGCACCCCCCCTACTTCCAAAAAACTGGGCCAAGCAAAACCAACACACCAGTGCCAATTTAATCTACCATGATTAAATTGGCATCTCTCCTTATGGATGTGCAGATATTACTGCTTATAGCAGCCTGATAGTTTCTGTTCAAGGGCTCCTGTGGACACAGACTTAATGTATAAGAATTTTAACAGCTTGATTGTCATTTCTGTGCTAGCAAGAGTGTTTGGACAGGCTGAAAATAGGTGCTGGGTACATGGGAGGTTTCAGAAGCCCCAGCTTCTTGGGCCCCCCAAAATGAGTGACCTGACACAGTAAGTGGGAAGGTGTCTGCAGGAGGGACCAGACAAGTATTCTCCTTTTTTTGCAACATCTCATTTTATTTTGCATATTTCAGGATTTGATTATGATGTGTAGGCTGTTTTCCACCTACACCTCTGGCAGCCTTGCTGAAGAACCTGAACATCATCACTTGGTTGCTGCAGCTCAAACTCTTGGGATGTTATTCTGCACTAAGAGATCCCATCTATCCTGAGGCCAAAACAGGCAAACAGGGCTCTCTCAAGGATACAAAGGACACACTGAGATGACATCTCAGGTCAGTCCAATTCATGAGATGGCAGCTCTGTGTTGACCTGAACTAAGTCACACAGCAGGAGAGCATCAAAATGTAGAGCAARGAAACCACCTTAAAGGCAGAACCTCCCCACTGGAGGAGTGTCACACACCCSATGACATCAAGGACCCTTGGGAGCAGAGATCTCTGTTGCTGGAAAAGGAAAGCTGGGTGATAGGATATTCAATTACCAGGCACAACAGACAGCTCTGAGGCTGTGACTTGCACACAGCTGCTAGTGACACTCTAGTGACTCAGGGATGGGGAGAGTAAATGCAGAGGGGAAAAATGAAGCAGCTAAAGGAAAAACTCTAATGRGAACTTTGCAATGACTTCTTCAGAGACTTTAACAGCTCAGACAGTTAGGGGATGAAGAGAAGTTCTGCTCTGGTGCAGTAACACAAAGAGGTTCTCTTCCAGAGATGCAGGTGGGTCACTCTCTGACACATGCTTGGGAGRTCAAGCCCACCAGTCACAATGCCTCTTATGAGTACACCAAAAGTGGCAGCAGAAAGTCAATTGGAATTGGGAGTCTGGCAAAGACATCATGGTGTCTCTGAGAGCAGAGGACCCTGGCTCTTTYGCTAATAAAAGAAGAAAAGCCTTCATGAATAGTAAGGCTTCACACCAGACCGCTGTAAGATGAGGTGTGAGATGTATGATCAGTGTTGCCAAGGCCAAATCATCTCGCTGTTGCCTGTTCTTGGCTGAAGGATATTTCCTGTAATTGTCACTGCAAAACTACAAAATGAGCCAGCTCCCTGAGATCATACTCGAATTGTTCCTCCGACATGTTGTATCCAATATCTGTCAGCACAGACATCTTGTATCCAATGTCTCAAAGATCTTGTTGAATGGAACCAGGCCTACCTGGGTGCAGGCCTTGCTGGCTGAAGCTCTTTGGATTGTGGGCTGTGAGATTTCTGTCTGCCAAATGGTCTTAGCAAGAATGAGAAAAATAAAAAACATCCCTGATCTTCATTAATCCTGTTTGTTTTGTGAAGCTGACTTGATGATATTGAATAGCCCAGGACAGTCCTTCAGAAAAAGATAGTTGGAGATRTTTGACCATTTGTAAAAATACTGTTTTTAAGCACCAATCAGCAGGTTGTAGGATATTTTAAACAACAGGCATGATGTGAAGTTATGTAACTAGCCAAGCGTTCTGCAAGGGGGCTTTTTAAAAATCATCCCATCCTAAATTTTTCTGCTTTACTATCTTAGGCTCCTTTGTAGAGTAAGCAGCAGGTGCTATCACATTACTGCTTGGCAAGGCAGCAGCTGGCTGCAACCCAACTGTGCAGCATGGGACATGGAAACAGATGGAGTAGCAAATGCTCTTTTTTTTACCTCTCCTGTTTTCTAAAACAGATTGTGAGCAAAAACATACATGAGAGGTTTTTGCCATCTTTCCTGCTACTATGACTCTCTGGCTGCTGACAAAGCCATGGCATTATATAGCAAGGGTAACATCTCCCCAACTAAGGAGAGGTCCATCCTTTGAGAGGAGAGCTGCCAAGAGGGGAAAGGCATTAGATACAATGTCAACAC